GGGCTGTGGCTTTTAGGTAGCGCATGACACGCTTTGCAGCTTCCCAATGAGCTTTGCCAGGGTTTCGCATGAATTGCGAGAGGGTAGCGACAGCGAAGGAGATGTCTGGGCGGGTGCTGGTGGCTGCATACATGATTGAGCCAATAGCTCATTGGTAAGGCACATCGCACATGGCTTGAAGCTCAGTGTGCGTGGAAGGACATTGGTCTGAGGACAGTACCGTCCCAGGTTCCATCGGCGTTTGCGCGGATTTCGCGTCAGTGAGGTAGAAGCGCTCTAGGATGGTATCAATATAAGCTTTTTGCGAGAGGGAAATGGTGCGTCCTGATCGGTCGCGAGTGACTTTCAAGCCTAATAGCCAGTTCAATTCTCCAAGATCCGTGATCTCAAAGAACTCGCGAAGCTGGGATTTGAAACGCTGGATGTGTGAGGTATGGGAGGAGGTTACTGCCATATCGTCGACGGATACGGTGACGACCGTGTGTTCCTGCGGGGTGTGCTTAAAGTAAACAGCTTGGTCAACCTGCGAGCGACTGAATCCAATTCTCGAGAAAACACCAGCCAGTTCTTCCGCCCACTCAAACCCTGCTTGCTTTAACCCCGGCAGACTTCTCCTCAACTTCAGAACCTTTCCTTCCTGCCCTCTTCTCAAGTAGCCAGGCGGCGCCCTCATGTAAATCTCTTCCTGGACATCCGCATATAAGTACGCACTTTTGATATCCACTTGATGGATTTCCCAGTCGAGCTTCGCGGCCATAGCGAGGACGGTTCTGATGGTGGCCATGTTGCATGTGGGTGCAAACGTCTCAAAATAGTCGACGCCGTATTGTTGTCGCTGCCCATTTGCAACGAGGCGCGCGCGGAGTTTGAGCTTTTCGCCGTCCGGTCCGTGTTTAGTGGTGAGGACGTAGTGACATGGGATGACGTTCGCGTCACGTGGTAAGTCGGTAACTTCCCAAGTGCCGAGTTTCTCCAATTGGCTGATTTCATAATCAATAGCCTCTTGCCATTCTGCACCGTCTTGACCGTTCAGCGCCTGCTGCAACGAGGGCTCTGGGTGCACTGCAGCCATAGCGTACTGGTGAGTAATGTCCTCCTCATCTGCCGGTACTGACTCTTCTTCTTCCAGCTTTTGAATTTCGGCTGCAAGATTAGCGCGCTCCCCCTCATTGAGGGCGGTATAATAACCTGGCGGTGGGCGTACTCTGGTAGACCGTGGAGCTGCAGGAGGTTCTGGTGGCGGGTTGTGGGTTCTTGGAGGGGTGGTGGGCGCCGGTATGTGGGTTCTTGGAGGTGACTGATTTGCTGATGAGTCCTGGGCGCTGCCTTTTGTGACGACTTTTGTGACGACAGGGTTAGACTCCCCCTCGACCGGGACTCCATTAGCGACATCAACCGACTCAGGTATGAATGTGACATTACGCTCAACCGAAACGCGCCTCTTACCCTCCCAATAGATGCGATAGCCCTTACTCTGGGCATCAACCCCTACAAACAAGCCTTCTTCGGCCCTAGGCTCCAACTTGCCAGCTCCCTCCACATGGACAAGGACTCGGCTGCCAAATTCGTGGGCAGATGAGAGATTGGGCCGTTCATTATGGACGAGTGTGTATGGCGTGTGGCCCGGTATGGACCTGGAAGGTAGCCTATTCTTTAGCCACACAGCGTAACCAACTGACTCTGCCCATAGGAACTTCGGCAGGTCCCGCGCAATCAACATGGCACGCGCATGCTCCACGAGTGTCCGGTTCAGGCGTTCAGCCACACCATTCTGCTGCGGGGAATCATGGACTGTCAGCTGCCGGGTAATGCCACGCTCCTTCAAGTAGGCGTCAAACTCTGCACTGAGGTATTCGCCTCCTCGATCGGACCGAAGGGTTTTGATACGAAGTCCATCGTTCTGTGTGGTAAGTCGCACTTCGTATTGTTTGAACGCTTCTAACGCCTCGCTTTTGTGCCTCAGGAATGCCACTTGGGTCTCGCGGGAGTAATCGTCGGTAAAGCTCATATAGTAGCTGGAGCCGGACAGACTCATGGTCTGGGCAGGTCCCCAAAGATCGGTATGTACCAACTCCCCATACGCCGTCGTACGTTTCGTGCTTTCCTTCGCAAACGGCTGATGGGCAGATTTTGCCTTCGTACAGGCCTCGCAGAATTCCTCGGCAGACGTGGCGTCAAGGTTGATACCGTTGACAAGTCCCTTCGTGACAGCGTGCCTTACTGCAGACTGTGATATGTGGCCAAGGGCCTTATGGACGGCATGTACGGTGAGTTTTCCTGCTGCCAGGTTCGCATGATGCTTAGCCTGTGCAGCCACACTGTATAGGCCATCTACTTGGGGAATGGTCGCAATGACAGTGCGTTTGGGCCCGGCGGAGAGTATCCTGCACATTCGGTCCTCGAAATGGACTGCCATACCCCCTGCCGTTATACGATTAGTCGATATAAGGGTAAATGCCATTTTTGGGGCATAGAGAGCGTTCTGGAGGGTTACAGTCATTCGCTCTTTCCCATTGGGTAAGTCCAGCTTTACACTGCCTCTTCCTACGGCACTGATAACTGAGCCATCGGCCGTATGCACATCCTGTGGCTCTATCTCGACGAAGTCGAGAAATTTGGCTCTGTCAGGGCAGAAGTGAGAAGTGGCGCCTGAATCAACGATGGCGCTGCGACGAGCAACAGGTACGTCAAACTGCTTTGCAACAGTGGCTAGATCTGACGTAGCGAATGCGTAGTTGGTCGCGCTGTCTGCCTCGGATGTATTAGCTGCGTTGGCGCCCTCTTTTGGCGTGCGTCCAGGCCTCTTCTGACGTTGATTCGGCCCTTGGCCCTCTTTTCCGCCTCCAGGCCTCCAACAGTCCGTTTTGTAATGGCCTTTTCTCTCACAATTGAAGCAGGTAACGTCCGCATTCTCTTTGCTTGTGCCCCCAGACTTTTTACCTCTCCCAGGAGCAGACTTGGCTACAAGAGCCGAATTTCCACTCTTCTTGGAGCCACGCTTATCCGTCAACAGACGGTGCTCGTACTCCTCACTGATCACTGTGATGAGTTCGTTCGACGTGAGTGGTGTCTGCGTTATCCTGGCTGCAGCGCTGATGGACGACAGAATGGGTCTATATGACTCTGGCAACGAGCCCAAAAGGATGGCATGGAAATCGCGATCTTCAATGGACGTTCCCATCCCGGCCAGGGACTCTCGCAGCCTCAAGAGCTCGGCGAAATGCGCCTTGACGTCGCCGTTCTCCTCGCAGCGTAAGTCCTGCAGGCGTCTTCGTAGGTCTACCTGCACTAATTCCGTCTTTCCTTCGTGGATTTGACAGATTTCGGTCCATATGCTCGACGCGCTGTTGAGCTTCTGGACTCGTAGCAGCATCCTATCAGTTATTGTGCTGAAGACGTGCTGCCTAACAAGTGAGTCTTTCTGGTAGAATTCATCTAGCTTCTCATCGACCTCCTCTATCTCCGTTTGCGTAGGAGTCGAGCCATCTGATTTCCTCACTGCGCCCGTGGTCGCATCTACCTTGAAAGGTATCGGTTTGATTGCCCGGCCGTCCACATAACGCATCAGACCTCGCGCGCCAATTGCCGTCAACATGCGTTCCTTGTAGGTTATCCAATTAGTGCCGTCCTCGGCTAACTTTGGTATGTTGAATAGGTTCGAATTGGTGGTGGGGAGCGTGGTGTCCATTGCCGGTTCAGGGCTCATAACCTGTTGTTTTCAGGTGCGAGCGGACGAGTTCAGATGGAGCTAATAACGAAAACGATCTCAGTACTTGGGACAAGACTCTTTGTATATTTGGTATATGTACCTAATAACGAAAACGCTACGAGAAACGTTAGCTACGTGTTCGTCGTGTCGTGCAACTAATGGTACTCACATCTCAGTACTTGGGACAAGACTGAGATGCGTCTATGTATCTGACTCGAACTATAAGGTAAAACGCGTAGGAACATATATTAATCAGAGACAGGAAAAATAAGGGAGGGCACGAGCCGCTGTCAACGCGCGCTCGTCCGTTTCTGCTTTAGCATGCGCTCGTACCTCATGCATCGGATTCATCGGCCTTCGTCTGTTCGTAACTCGACACGACACTCGATGTCTGGGTATGTCGTTCTATTAAACGGGGGGCCAGTGGCATGGAGTGCCCGTAAGCAACCGCTGATCGCGCTATCCACGGCAGAGGCTGAGTATATCGCCCTGACCAGTGTGATACGCGAATTACTTTACCTTCAGTTGCTCATCGAAGAGCTCTACGACCCCGTCCCACATCCCATTCCCGTGTTCTGTGACAATCAAGCTGCGATAGCATTAGCATCCAATGGAAAGTTCCAGTCACGCACCAAGCACATCGACCTTCGATACCACTTCGTCCGCTCACACGTCAAGAACGGCACCTTCAAGTTATTCTACTGCCCCTCTGAGGACAACATCGCTGACGCCTTTACGAAGGCGCTCCCACGACCACGACTCCAGAAGTTGAGGATGCTGATGAGCGTGGCTTGCGCTCGAGGGGGAGTGTTGGAGTCCGAGGCCAAAAGATCCGAGTCGAGGGAAGCCGAAGGATCCGAGATAGGTACGAGGGGGAGATGATAGGTACGAGCTCAAGCCGAAACGGACATAGGCGAGCGATGCATGACATCGGCTCGCGTCCTAGAATTATTTTCAGTCTCTCATTCATATATTCAAGTTCCTGACACACTTACTATAAGACCAGTACCAGTAGCGCAGGTGCATCTCAGTTTCGTTCAAGACACTGAGATGTACGTTCTAAAAGTCACCTAGAGTTGTTAACACGTCTAACGTTAGCTGTAGCTTTCTCGTTCTAGGTAGACGCACCGTTTGTAATAGAGTTTCGTCCAAGACACTGAGATCTTTTGTCGTTCTAGACTCCTCGTTGTTCCCGCGCTCGTTATAAACGCCTTTTCCGTCCCCTATGTTAGTACTCCTATGCTTTGACCATGTCCAACATAGAGTCTACCCCTGTGCTCGTAATACGACCATGTCCAACATAGAGATCATGACTCGATTGAACACGTTTCACGAGGAAATGATGGGCGAGATCAATCAGCTCAAAGCTTCCTTCGCGCAACAGGTATGTACCTGGAACTACTCAATGAGCAAGCTAACAAAACAAAATATCAGGACAAGAAAATACAGAGTTTGGATGAGAGAATCCAGAGCCAGGACAGGAAAATTCAGAGTTTGGATAAGAAAATCCGGGGCCTCGAAGATTCCACTGCAAAGTTATCAGCTTCCAGCAAAGAGATGGCCGCTACTCTGCAGCGTGTAACTACTCACTTTCAGCACCCTGTACTAACTCGTACTGATTTTTATCCTAGCATTCCAAAGTACTGCATGCGCTCCATCGACGCGCGGTGCTTGATGACGCACATGCTCGACTATGCAGTCACTATGGTTATAACATTCAATTTCGGCCAGGAAGCCAAGAAGCCGGCGAGTGCGGTGAGTGGGACTCGTTGGAATGAAGGTTTAGGCATGATTGGACTATTATTTATGGATGATTTGGGGGAATGGCAGTAAAACGGCAATTTAATCAGACAACGATATGAAGACATGAGTGCCGAAAATATAGCTACCAATATGTGCATGAGTAAAGAGGGGTGGTGATCTAGTAGGAAACGCATCAAATGAATCATGCTACCGTACTGCTATGTTCGCAGTCCAGAAACCAACACCTTCTTCTCTCTGTCCCATCATCTGCAACAGTCGTGGTCGGCCGGATCCTCGGCGAAGGGACATGAGAGCAGACGATCCCGCAAATATGCTCCCTGAACAAAACCAATTCACTCAAGAATAGAGCCAAAAGCTTCTGAACACTCACCGCCTTCGTGTCCAAATCTGTTACAAACAAGCACGAGTAGCTCGTTGGAAATGCCCGGTTTCTTCTCGTTTTCATGTGTTGCCTCTTGAATCGTGGCCCACAATGGGTTCAGACGCATCGCCCAGTATTTTATCACTTCCCAACTTGGCTCCATGCCATCTGTGTCTTCGTTCTGCTCCGAAGTCGTGCAATCAGCAGAATCGCTATCTGATACTTCTCCGTCTTCGTCAGGATGCAGCCATGCATTCAGAAGTATCAAAAGCCGCGTGCCCGATCTCATGCAGTGTTGAGCAAGTTCATATGGACCTTCTTCAAGCGACTCCCACACAGCAGGGTCCTGCACATTAAGGTCATTGCAGATCGCAAGCGTGGTTGGACCCAACGGATGCGGTAGAGTCATCGTCGTAAACCCAGAACCGGGAACAGCCCAAGGAAGATCAAGTTTATAGAGGTTGGTCTTGCGATATGCTCCGATACGCTCCCCCGTAGGACTATACATGACTGCACTGTTTGCACCGATACGGGGCTGATGAGACGATAAGCTATTGCCTCCGAGCGGAGGGGCATGTTCATGCGGTTCGAGCTTCTCAGGATACCCGGCAGCTACAAAACATTCAAGGGAGCGTGCTAGCTCCGCACAAAAGGTGGCCGTGGGCCCTGTATGTGGGTGCTCAAGATACGGTGTGATAGTAGCCGTGTCCGGGAAAACATAGCCTGATGTGCATGATCAGAAACCTGCGTGTGCATATGCAGTGACAATTCGGAAGTACGAGAACCGGCTTACCGGATAAAAACATCTCTGGGAAACACAGGAGATCAAGTGATCGGGGCCTCAACCTTGCAAATGGCTGTGAGGCCATCTTCAAACGTACTAGTGCGTGAGGCCGCATACCCATTGCATAATTCTCGAGCCTTGGCGATGTTGGCTTGCACTTGGCCGAGCTTAGGTGTAGATGACGTTCGATTATGGTTGCTGTTTTCATCCCCGAGGAAATGTGTACTGACCTTTGGAGCAAACTGTACGACTGCCACACGCAACTGCGAAGACATCATGAGATCATGAGTGTGGTGGGAGAAACTTGACTAGAACTGTTACTGTCACGGTTCTGACCCCAAAGTTTAGCGCTGCGATCAAACACAAACATAACCTCATGTTGAGTATATCGCGCAAATGGTAAAGGCAGTGCTAGCTCAAACGTACAAATAACGAAAGATAGGAGTAGGCGATGATGGTAGATGTACGTTCCGGCTACTTTCAGATTGCTGGGTTGTTCCGCCCGGATGTAAAGTCTCGTAAAAGGTGGAGCCCCGTCACATTTGTCCAGCTCCAAAAGTAAATAGAAGCGGTAAGACGAAAAGATGAAATCTGGTCTATCGATGTGAAAAGTGGCTGTCAATGATCATGATAACGCGCAGAAACTCAATCGAATGTCGGCCCCACATACTACCCCATTGCCAGCACATTCCTCGCACGGCAGGAGTCCCCACAGGGGCCCGTAAATCGATCTCCTAACCGCCAGCCCGAGGGCTTACAGTCAAGAAGTCGTGATTCCACTCTTACGTTGGTTTACTCTCGCCTCATGGTCATCTAGTCAACGAGAACAAGTCTCATCTCATCCCAGAAGACCGTCACCTTTTCCCCCAGAGCTAGAAGCCCACAGAGTGAGGGGCTCTAGGGGAGAGGTGGTGGGCTATCCGTCAACGATTGGGAAGTCGATCACACAGGTTGGAAGTTACTTTTTGGGATTGGAGAGGGAATATCTGCAAAAACGAAACCATCCAAAAACAGAAGTGAAGTAAGATGCCAAAAAAGCCACGATAATGCGAGAAACTAGAGATCAATAACACAGCGTTCAACATAGAATAAACCCAAAAGAAGTATAATATAATGGACTCCACTTGCATAGTAGATGTAGGCGAGTAGATCAGTGATCACTGCTCACGAGACCGCAATGACGGACCGTTTGGAGGTATCTCATCTCGGGATCCAGGACGCGAATGAGGCTCCTCTCTTGCAGCTGAGGGAGCAGGATACGCATTCATTATGCTTGCTAATGTTTGAGGCACAGGCAATGACGCATTGGCACCGGCAAGATATGGCGATTGCTGTTGGTGTGGGGGAGGTGATGCTTTGGAGGTGGATGTCATGTTTGGTGGTGAAGGATTTGTGAGCTGACGGGTGCCATGTGAATGAGAGTTACTCTGTCGCCTGTCTTCGATATCCCTCTGTGAAGGAGGGCGGTACTCGTGGATACTTAAAGTGTCGGCAGATTGAGGTGGCGGAAGAACGATGGTTGTGAAAGGCTGCGATTGTAGATGTGGGGGAGGGTGTAGGAAGGAAGGAATATCTTCAGCGTGACCATCGGCCACACCAGACTGATCTTCCGGAAGTGCAGGAACGACGGCCGCGTGTCTACCGCCTAAAGGTCTGTGTTATATCGTGTCACAATTCAGAAAAAAAGGATGAGACGAGAAAGAAAAAGATTCGCCAGCATGAACGATAGTACAGCCCGCGGTACGCGCTGGTCCGCGTCCCATTCCAGCAATTCTAGATACTACACTGGCCATAATAATAATTACTCACCCTCCTTCGACAAAGTTCTGCCATACATAATCGCGCAGGCGATCGGCATTTGGAAGCTCCTGGATCAAGTGCTTGATGGTGTTCTGTCCTAGCCCAAAGAAGTCAGGCCCCGAGACAGAATTCGAGTGTTGGCGATTGCGGATAGTATTGGCCTGTTTCACGATAGCAGACCATGCACCGGTGGCGGTGCCTGCGATTTGAGGACGATCTTGGACATCAGATGCGATGATCTTGAACTTGGGTCCATCTCCGCCATCCAGGATTGAGCAAGTGTATATAGCCTCTGCGGTGGGATCCACCGTTGATGAATATTTCCTACAAAGAGATTAATTGAAAACATCACTTTGATTCAAATGGGTGCTCACCGTGTCACCTCATATCCAACAGGGAAGATGTACCGCTCCGTGTGAAAATGCTCTCGCATGCATACCTCTCCTAGTTGGTTCACTGTCATGATGCCGACGGTGAGTGGTAGCATTGGACGTCCTTGTTTATCACGTGGAACAGTAGGGATGCTGTAACTCTTTGTTGTAACAGTATGGGCCTTCAAACGTTTAGGCTTAGCATGACGCTGAACCTCGGTTGCACGAGACGACGGAGGAGGTGCAGAGGGAAGTCCCATGTGTGGGGGTAACGAAGGAGACGGACCAACGTGTGGAGGCGTATTTCCAGGGACAGGAACCAAGGCAGGGTGCTGTCCGCCACCATTGGCACTGAACCGTACTGGGTCATAATGAGACTGCTCGTCGCGAGGAGATAACAATGGAGATAGTGATGATTGGGAGTGCGCTGGATTACTTGAAGGGAGAGGGTCATTAGGTGAAGGCCGCACGGGAGGCTTAAGGCGAAGACGGGTGCCCTTGGTCGACACAAGAACAGGGGTTCCTGGGCCACCTCCTTCCGGAGCAGAGACCACACCCATAGCGGGTTGACCATGGGGAGGCTGTCCCATGGCCTCTTTCCCTTTAACAGCAGCTCGAGGTCGCTTTGGTTGGCGACGAGCTTCACGAGCCTCCTCCTCGGCACGGTCTCGATGTTCGTCTTCTGCGCGCTTGCGAGCCAACGGGCCGACATGCCGCGAAGTAAGTAGTGGATCAAGCTCATGATCGTCAGCTTCTTCCTCCGCCATTGCCTGACGGAGGTTCGATACAAAGTAGGAACGGGCTTTCAGAGTTGAGAGGGAGCGAGGAAAGGCACTGGACGGCAGATAAGGAACACCCGAGATGTTCGGCTCAGAGTGTGTTTCAAGTTCACGAATGCGGTCGAGCATCTTGCTGGAGTAGAGAGTCAGACCAACATATGAGATATCGATATTGCAGTTACACGCACTCCCGTTCTTCCCGAAGTTTCACATTACGTTCCCCAGAGAGCCTTAACTCGTGCTGCGCCTCTTTATGTTTCTGAGACAAATTTGTTAGTTCGATAGACCATGATGAAAGATAACTGCTCACATCCTCCAACTCGAAAAACTTTCGTTTTAGTTTTCGATATTTATCCAAGGCGGATTCCTGAGTTTCTTTTAGAGGAGTCGGTAGTGGCTGCTGGTTGACTGGCAACGGCGGCGGCGGTGGGGGGCCCATGACGACATCAGCGGGTGGGCCCATCGTTGTTGACGATGAGCGACGGCGAGACATGAAGTTTGTGTGAAAAGTGGAAGAGAGACCCGCACAAGAAGCGCGCAAAGGTAAAATCCAACCAAGCTCAAACACGACTACACAGCCTAGCCCAACAAGACTTGAATTTTTTTGTCAACGTCAAACCACCACATTGACGGCAGATTCAGCCTTTCGAAACTCTCTTTATCTCCGGTTATTCGTAATCAAATAATTTCAAGGGTGCACCCTGTTTTCTTTTAAGATTTATCGACTTGAAACTTGAAGACGACAACGGGATTTGGTGTTTTTTCTCGAGATCCCTTGTCAACTTTGCCACGGCGAATCTGCCACGGCGTTGAGTCTGCCACATCATTTCACCATCTTATTGCTCCCGGAACCTTGGGCCACGCCACTACCGCTTTCCTTTTTCCTATTTCTGGCAGTCACACTTCTCCATTATTCGGACCAAACCGAGCAGAACGGTCGTGGTCTAGCAACCATGCGCCGTCATAGATGCGCCGTCCAGTATGCATTTAGTCCTCTCAATCGTTTCTCATTACTCCATTATTCAGTTTTCATCCTCTACCACTTAGTCGTCATGTGAGAGAGAGGATAAAAATAGCACCGCTGCTCAAGTTTCGTGCCTTGTGCCTACCACCACCGAAAGACTCAGATAATCGCCTAAACATACCGGTTTAAGATTCAGAAGAAACCATGCTAGCGTATTGATCATCAGCAGGGACAAACAAATTCCTTAGCGATTCTGTCAAAAAGAACAAGAGCTGACAGCACAGTAGGGCTATGCAATACCTATGCTGGCCCCATCAGGAATCTGTATTCCTGCCAGTGTGAACCTGATCTTCAGAATCCCTTCCACGCACGTGAATCATCTGTACCGATCTGGCTCAAAGTGAAAAGCCGCGCGGGACGCCGTTCAGGCGCTTTGTGAGCGCAAGATAGACGCCAAGAAAGCTGGGAACGTCATTACACTTGATCTGTCGTTTCAAGTGCCAGCACATGTTACGATATGCAATAAACATACCTGCAACAAAGAAGCGATGGCGTTGAGGAAGTTATCGCAGTGAAGGCTCCGCGAGAATAAATTATGAACTCCAAATTGCGACGCACTAGACGCATTCAAATGGTACATCAGGAAAGCAAAAAGACACAACAAAAAGTGTACAGACGAACGAAGGTAAACATGGTATCAAAAACACAATCACACGATATACGTGCAGAAAGAATGGTGAGAGAGAGAATACGTAGATGCCAGAAATCATACTTTTGAAGTTGGCCGAAGTACCAGTAAAATTCCGTCCGAGTGCCCAGAGAAAATAGCGTCAACAGAAATTTCCTGATCAGAGGATGATGAAGATGGTGGCCGTGAACGGGATGACGTCCCGGGCGATGAATGGGAGGCGCAACGTGGGCTTGACGGCATTCGGTAATTGATTCTTGCGTCTCCGAGTCTGCGCCGCGATAGCGGCGTATCTTGTTCATTTTCACCCCTTCAATACAGTTGAGAACGAGATACGGGCGGAGAAAGCCGGTCAATACCTTGAATTTCTGCCAGCAAGTAACAGCACAAATTTACCAAAACCGAAGCCGCCATCGCTCGGTTGCCCTCGATCGTTGACGCCCCATGATTTAATGACATCGATCCAGCTGCGCACGTTATGTTCTGTGCGACTAGTGACAAAATCGAAGAAACTCCGACCCAGAACCCTGGTAGTTGACAGGAGAAGGTCATTGGAACAGTAGAGCACCGTGCAATGAATCGAGAACCGGTCAAGGATAAGTGCCGACCTTAGGGACTGACAGGGCAGTGGATTGAAACTAATTATTGTTGGTTTCTTGCTTCGGCTGCGGCTTGATGACGCATCACTGGTATCTGAGTCTGTGGAAGCGCAGGCAGCCCGTGAAGCGAGGTCGGGTATACTAGGACTAGACGTCATCGGTGACGGGTCGCCCCATCGCTAGTCATTTTTAGACAAGCAGTGATGAACAAAGTATGATGCCTACCCTAAGCTCAAAGTTCTTCGCAGAAGGCGTGACAACTTCAACTTCTTGTGCAGTAGATGTATTCTGGAGCGCCTTTCCACCTGGTGTGGCAAAGGATACGCTGCCTACTAGCACGCTGTGCACGACGGTCCGAGACTGAACCGAAGTTTAAATCAAACACGTCAAATAAAGGATCGAGACTACTACTCACGACCGCACAAAGAATGTATCCTTTGAAGGGATCTTTATGCTTTAATCGAAGATATGCCAGAGCAGCGGCTTTGTCTTCGCGGATAGTATCACTAATCGATGCAAGATTTGGTCATTCATCGGCAAGCGAAAAATATTATCCGCGAACGTACTAGTGCATCTGCTTTACCTGAGAGAACTCGTCTGGATGTACAAGCTCCAAAGCAGGGCGGCCTATTAACTCGCGGGGTTCAAAGCCTACAGCAACGTTAACGTCAGAGGAACACTAAATGGTAATTGTCGTACCTAGCAAGTCGGAGACTGATTCAGTAAGGAACAACCAGCGAGCCTAGACAAAAGGACTTTGTTCGGGGCCAGCGACAGACGCAGTAAATTATTAAACTTACATCCTCCGAGAAGTCTACGATGGAGACTTCGTACAACGTTGAGCTGGTGTCGTACGGCCTGAGGTAAGGAAGCACGTACTGAATGAAACGCGTGGTGTCTCTGATTCCATAGCCTCGGTCTGATGGATTATTTTGACCAAAAAGAAGGGCCTTTATGGTTCGCGTGTGGGCGCGTATGGAATAGGCGAGCCTTACACTGATTTGTTATACCAGCAAATACCGTCAGAACCAGTGACGGAGAGAAGTGAGGCTACGGAGGGTCGGGGGTCGACAGTGCTTTTATCTCTCCATTGCAGGGAAGACTTAGGGTTTCAAAACCCGAGGACACTTGAACAGAATTACCAGAGTCATGGTATTATTTTTTGGAGATTGAGGTGATTGGGTTGAGTGTCATTATGTAGTGGTATTAGTTGAGTATTACTATCATTGATTCCAGAAAGGATATGCTTCCGTAATAAACACGATGGATCTGAACAACATAAGGTAACATTATCCTCGTTCATACGCCAGGTTCATTCAAACCGTGCAACGCCTGAACAACGCGGGGAGGTCCTAGTGGGAATCGGAGTCGCCTAGGACTAGAAGCGGAATCCACGTCTAGTGCTCCCTTTGCTGTCAGTTTGTGCCTTGAGCATTTAATTTCATGATCGTGGGTTCACCAGATCTCTCACACAGGTAATAGCCCACTCAATCTCGACCCGGCCCAAGCTTGTAGTCACCTTGTCATTGGCTCAGTTGTGCTCTTCTTCTTGAGCCAAATATATTAGATGTGGTCGAGTGCTCGAGACGTCGCCGCAGGCGACCTCGTTATCATCTGGCAGGCACGTTCCTCACCTTTTGCATTTTTGGGGTAGCTCACATGCCTGTAATTGATTTATGTCAGACTCGAGAACTCATCCAACCTTTACTCATCACTCCAGGGAAAGATCTTAATTCCAGGTTTGGTTATTACCGGCATGCAGACCTTGTTGGAATTCCCTATGGGTCCAAAGTCGGATCTCGCAATGGCAAAGGATTCATCCATGTCCTTCGACCGACTCCGGAGCTTTGGACGATGGCACTTCCCCATCGTACTCAGATCTTGTATCTTGCCGATATCGCGTTTATCACCTCATGGCTTGACATCAAACGTGGAAGCAGTGTCATCGAAGCTGGTAAGCGTTAAAAATTGGACTTATAGCGGAAAACGCTGCTTTTTCTTGGCTATCGTCCACGATGCTGCGCCACTTTTTTAGTTTGGTCACAGCGAAGGAAAGACACGTGGATCATCATTCTAGTCTTCATTCATCCTTGTTTACTACGCCGCATTGATGTGTCCTCTCGCGATTGATGAGCAGATTAACAACGTGCCTCAGATTGAAACTCATTCTCTATCTCTTTTATGTTCATATCCCTTTCATTGCCTTTTCCTAAACGCCTGTACCAATCGGAAATTTGACCTCCGTGGGGTGAACCCTTAATTCACTACGTACATCATGCAGGTACTGGTTCGGGATCGTTCTCCCACTCCATTGCAAGGACGATAGGGTCGGTAGGACATCTTTGGTCATACGAATTTCACGAGGCCCGTGCAAATAAGGCGAGGTATGCGGCCTTCTACTTTAAGACATAGTAAAGAATTTAATCACATTCTAGGGAGGAGTTTTCGCTCCACGGAATGGCAGACATTGTCACCCTCACACATCGCAACGTGTGCAAGGACGGGTTCACAGTTGAAGACACGGTTGATGCAGGCATGTCTCTTTCTTATCATACAGATTGATCGCCCGAGCTGGTTACCCTTTTTCTACAGTATTCCTCGACCTTCCGGCGCCGTGGGACGCTATTGAGCACGCCAAGAAGGCATTGAAGGTACGCCACTGTTCGTTAGCAATCAACATATCCAATTTACTCGGAAATGAAAAGAAAACCAGCCCCACTCGTATATGCTGTTTTAGTCCATGTATGGAGCAGGTTCTTCGGACAGTTAGCGCCCTAAATGATTCAGGTTTCACGGGTATGTTTTTCGATGTTGAATGTTACGTGAAAGTCTCACCCGTGTACCTCTATTAGACATCACGATGTTTGAGACGTTACTGAGGCCTCACGAAGTTCACCAACTATCACTACAACCTCTGACCCAAGCAGTCGAGAAGCTCAAAAAATTAGAACAAAAACGTGAAGACAAACGCCAGCATCAGATCGCAAGGTCGAGTAAAAGAAAGCGGGATGATTTACAGGAAACGGACGCTGACAATGTGGGAGGCAAAAGGCTTAGAACTCAAGAATCGGGAGAGGAGGATGCTGGTATCCGCGATATCCCGGATGCTGTGGTAGACCCTGGCCAATCTGCCAACCAACCATCACCAATCAAACTATCTGTCTCAAAAGTGGCTCCCGACGTCCGGGGTCACACATCGTATTTAACTTTTGCCCGGCTGGTACCCACAGCTCCTTCAAAATCTGTCGCAATTCAAGAATAATAATATTGTATATTTTGGCGATATAAATCATATAGCTATAAAGTACGGAGAAGCCCCTCGAACGGAT